AACCAGGCCCTTAAAGCCTCGTTATCCCCATGCTAACAGCGAGGGCAGGTTTTGCAGGGACAGGGCATCCACCCCCACCTCTCCCCCTTGGGTTGGGCACCGCGATGGAGAAGCTCCACATCTCTCCCCCCAGCCCTGGGCTTCCTAACGGGCTCCTCAGACAAGCCAAGCCCCTGGTCGGTGGGTGGCATCTCTGCACAGCCCTCGGGAGAGACCGAGGCAGGGACCAGGCTGCACGTCAGCCCGGTCAGCGGCTGCCGTTGGCTCCATCCTGGTTCCCAAACAGGGTTAAACAGCCTGCCGATCACTTGGGAAAACATTATGCAAAAGCCTGGCTGCCTTCAAATCAGAGAAGCCTATTTCAGGTAAATGAGTCTGGCTCTCGGGGTTTCATTAGCCAGCCTCCCCTGCGTGCTGATTAGCAGCCGCGGCTCCCCAGGGACGTGTCGCTCCTCGAGGCTGGGAGCCGGGACGCGGAGCCGGAGAGCGGCTTCTTCCCCCTCACTGGCTACGCCCGTCTCCTTTCGCTGATGGAGAGGAGACTACGGCCCCCTGGCACCCTGCTCTGACCACCGTGCACCCCTGCCCTATCCATCCCTTCTCCACATCTGTGTGGCAGGAGAATTCGTGATCTTTTCCCCAGACCTTCAGACTCGGGGCAACCCAGGGGTGAAGTCAGTGTCCTTCGGGTCCACTGGCCGGGCAGGAGGAGAGGCGTGCACCCCCCTGCCCTTTTCCTGGGAAGACTGGGCTGGGCAGCTCTGCTCCAGCTCTCCTAAACAGTGGGGTGGAGAGGCAGAGAGCAGGCGGTCGCAGCCGGCTCTGCAAGGCAGGACCCCGGGACAGATGCAGAGCCAGGCCTGAGCCAGTTGTTCCCCAAGTCTCCAGAGTGAAAATAACCACTCAGGAAAGGAGAGGCCGGAGCCTGTATCAGAAATTCAAGCCACACGCTACAGGCCCAATCCAGGGACGCTGAGACAGCATCAGCGGGCGTCCGGCCAGGCTCTGAATGCCACGGTTGCTGCTGCGTCTGACACACCACGTGGGGAGTCCCCAGACAGTGTCAACACCCCCGTCTCCCCATTACCGGCCCTCGGCCCAGGGGACCGGGAAGTGACCCCTCCTGGCTTATGGCTTCCAGCTGCTGTTCTTAGCAGAACAGCTGTGCCACAGCTGGCGGGGGAGCATGCCGATGACATCCGGGGGGCAGGGGTAGCTGAGGAGGAATGCAGAAAATAAATACACCTGCGGCGAGTCGGAGGCTTTAGTTGGACGCACTCCAGTAGGGCTCGCGGACCCGGCCATCCGTCTGTCTATATATATCCATCCATCTATATAGCCCTCCATTTATATATCCATCCTCCCACCTCTGGGCACTGTTGCTGCCCCGATGCGATGTCCGTGTCTGTGGGAGACGAGTCTCCAAAGTTTCCCATGTGGGGGGTTGAAGAAGACAACGCTTCTGAATTCACTGGTTGCCGGCCTTGCTGCTCGGATGTCAGCGCCTCGCACGCTACAGCGCAGGCCTCCTGGAGTAGCCCTGTGGGCTGGCAGCAGTAGCGGGCTGTTATCCCCAAGAAGGGGCCATAACATTTACTTCTCCCCGGTGCTACAGGCTGGCTCTGAGCAATGCCACGGGGATGCCGAACGGCGCGCCAGGGCGGGAGACCCAAGGTGCGTTTCCAGCAGCGCCTGGGCAGCTGTTGCAATGGGGAGCCAGGTGCAGGAGGGAGCGAAGTTTGCCGCAGAGGCGTGCTGGGCGCTGCAGCGCGTGCCTGGGGACCCGCTCCTAGAGGCGCTTTGCTTTCCTCCTCCCCGAATCGATTCTGGGCAGCTCTTCAGCGGTGCTTCCCCGGGGCCGCAGGCGCACGCTCGGCGGAGGAATGATGAGCCGCTCGGCCGGGCCCTGCTGCCGCCTGCAGGGGCCATTACTCATCTCCCTGCCCACTGTCCTCAAAGAGGTCATCGGGGAACGGGCAAGGACTTTCGGCAACAGGCTCGGGCAGAGGCTTCTCGCAGGAGCCCCCAAGGGAGCACGGTCTCATTTGTCGCTGCGCCGCAAAGCGAGGGCTGATTCATGGCTGTCATGCCTGGGGGGGCCGTGCCTGGGACCCCACTGACTGGCTCCAGCTCCGCCGTGCAGGCTCATGGCTTGCTTGGGCCAGGAGAGCAGCTGCACGCCTTTGTGCAGCTCGGCCGCGCTTGCTGGCCTGCAAGAGTGCGCTTCCTAATGTGACCCCTTGTCCTTTTGCCCAAGACGCCCTCGCCTGGCTCTGCTGTTGCTCCCAGTGACCCAATACCACTGCACCGGGCTGGGCATGAATGAGAGCAGCATTTCTCCTCTGGCATGAAATGTAGGTCAGGCAACCTGAGGTGGGAGAAGGGTAATAAATGCAGCACATCAGCAGCTCGAGCCCTGGCCAGCTTTGATTTCCAGGTGCAGCTATTATTGGTTCAGAGACTCTTTCCAGCACTTCTATTAGCAGCTCAGCGCATGGAAGAGGTGAAGGTTTGGGGATTTTTTTCCTTCTCCCTCCCGCCCCGATCGGCTCCCAGATTGCTAATGTTCCACTGCCTGCCCCGTTGCTAATTTTGACGATGCCCTAAATAGCAGGCAAGTGCATCTCATCTGGTTTGCTTAGCAGAAGAGAAAATGATTTCCCTTCATTTGCTGAAGCCGGCACGTGGCTTTAACCCCGTCAGCACAGCTCACTCTGTGGCACAGCTCCAGCCCCTCGAAACGTGGCCCACAGGCTCTGTCTTGGAGGGCGTTTCGTGGGCTCGGGCGGGAGATCCCTGGTGGCCTACGGCATGCTGTGGACAGGCAGGAAGCCCAGGGCACGGGCTCCGTAAGTTGCAATGCAGAGCCCACGCGGCAAAGCTCGAGGCACTCCAAGGGCCTGGGCTCTCCCTGGTCCTCTCCCTCCAGTGCCCCGGGCAATGCGGCCACCTCCCATATGGCTTCCAGGAGCAGTGCTGGACGGGGCTGGCTGCCCGGGGAACCTGATGCTCCGAGACCACGAACGCACACAGGTCTTTGTCTGCAGTCTCCTCGGCCACTGCAGGACCGTGGTGCGCCGGCTGCTTGCAAAGGCTGCTGCAGCCCGAGGCTGATGGGTGCAACTGGGGCGACGTGAGCGGGGAGCTAGCTGGGATGCAGGGGGCTCACAGGCTAGAACAGTCTCAGGAGGGCTGTGTCTCTAGTTGCCTCCTCCTTAGGTGGGTAATAGTCTCCCTGCAGCATTGTGAGGGGAAACGGGACTCCCAGGATGCATCCGCGAGTGTGCCCGTGACCTCGACCACACTTGTCTACCCCTCTGCTTCTCTCACTGGGTCCCAGAGGGTAGCCATGGATCCATCCATCATCTATCCCTACATACATACATACACACACACAAACACTTATATACATATATACGCACATGTATCTGTACATCTATCCATCATATATCCATATGTCTATATACACAGCTGTATATCTATACATTCATCCATGTATCTGTTTTTACACACACACACACACACACACACACACACACACACAGCTGTATATCTATTTTTATATCTACATATCTACTGTACACACACACACACACACCTGTATATCTATACATCCATCCATGTATCCATCTATCCATGTATTTTTATATATAATACACACACACACACAGAGCTGTATATCTATTTTTATATATACATATCTATCTATATATACACACATCTGTATATCCATCTATCCCTGTATCCGTCTATCCTATATCCATACATCTATATATGCATCTACAACCATCCATCCAACCATCTTTTTTTCTGTCTGTCCATCTGCCTGACCCCCTCTTCCTGCGTGCTGAGATCCCCTCCATGCCACTAACTGGCGTTGTGCGAGCTGCTGCCTGGGCACTGGGGTGGGTGATGTGGGGTTAGGCTCCTCTTTATATTGTTACCCCGTGAGTGTGGGGTGGGCTCTGCCTAGCCTGAGCGGTGGTGCCTGGCTCCCCTGCCCTGCAGGGATGCTCCCAGCACCAAGCAGATACCTCTCACCCTGCTCTTGTTTTTCCTCCCCTTTTGCACTGTCCTGTGGGGAGCTTCCCCCCCCCGCGTGGCTGCCTGAGCTGAGGAGGGGCAGCCACGCTTCCTCCGTGACCCCCACGTGCCCCGTGGTGGCACTCTGGCCACCTCTGCCTGGCCACAACCCGGGGCTTTTGCAGGCGGTTTCAGCAAATCCATGACCTGGCATGGCCTAAATATAGCACTGTCTGGGGCAAGGTGCTTATTTGGAGCAGGGACTGGTTTCCTGAAGGGCTATAATTTAGTGGCAGCTCTGGGATGACGGTGACTAGCGGCTTCCAGAGGAAGCAGGAGCCGGGGGAGGAAGCGCTGCCGCTCCTGCCGTGCGGTCTGCACCGGAGTTTAAATTTAGCTGGCGGGAGGAGACCGGTGGCTGGCGGGGCCCGTGCTCTGTCCAGGGGAGGGATGGAGGTGAGGCGGTGCAAAATGAGAGCCAGGAGAGAGGGGCACAGAGTCTGGGATGGTGCCAGCTCGGGGAAGGCCCCCTGTAAGATAGTGGGGCTGGGTGGCAGGGAAGTGGCTGGTCCGTCTCCCCATCCTGGGGCCACCGTGGGGTGGGCAGGGGGTGCTGCTGTGTGCCAGCACTTGGAGGCAGGGGGTGATCCCTTTGCAGGGCCAGAGGCAGAGCTTACAGTTGCTGTCATGCCCACCCTGGTGCAAGGGATCTGCTGGGGGGTGGAAAGGAAAAGGGCTGGAAATGGGCACTGGTGGGGCAGCTTAGAGCAGCCTCCACGCTGCGCTAGCCCATGGCTGGTAGAGTCCCACAGAGGCTCAAGATGCCCCACGCTGCAGAGCCGACCGGGGGCCCAGCAGGGACGCTGGTGGGCAGGTGGGGGCTCGAGTCTGGGCCGTGATGGGGAGCGCTCAGGGAGAGGCAGGACACAGGCCGTCCCCCTGGCTTACTTCATATCGCACCTCTTCCCTCTTCGCAGAAGATCCCGCGGACGCCGTCAGACGAGGATTGCTTCTTTGACCTGCTGAGCAAGTTCCAGAGCAACCGAATGGACGACCAGCGCTGCCCGCTTGAGGAAAGCCAAACCGAGGCCGCTGAGGCCGCTGCCACCCCCGTGCCCGCCTTGGAAGAAAGAATATGTAAGCACATGGGGTGGGGGAGCGACACTTCTTAGGGGTGCCAGCGCTCATGAGGGTGCCCCGAGTCCTGCAGTATCTTCCCAATATCTCCTAGCTCTAGGGAGGGGGGGCTTCAGCAAGGGTCCCAGCCTCTTTGGAAAAATATTCTTCTCCTTGCCTGCAAGGCTGCAGCAAAGAAAGCTGGCCGAAGCAAAGCCCCAGGGTTCAGTACCCCAGTGCAAGGAAAACCACGAGAGAAATGATATCTTCGGCTTAAGAAAATGCATGTGCTTTTGAAATCTGGGCTTTGCTGTGCCTGCCACTTGCCGTCCAGCACTGGGCACCACGAAGGAGGATGCTGTCGGAGAGCTGACGGGGCAGCAAGGGCTGTCCGGCCAGCCCTGAGCTTTTAAAAGCCTGATGAAGGCTGTCTGGGCAATCTCCACTGGTCCAGCTACCTGGGCTGGCCAGTCGTGTGGTCACCTCCACGCCAGTGCAATCGTAACGGGGGGTTTTGTGCTGCGTGGGTTCTGCCTGGTGCTTCCCCGGCCCCGTGCCCACGTAGTGCAGTACTTAGGTGGGGAAGGGAGGGAGACCTGCAGGAGCCCCATGGAGCACCGCAAGATGACCAGCTCTGAAGAACAACACCAGGAGTGGAAACCTGGTGGGTAAGTCTGAGGAAAATGGGAACAGCAGAGTCAGTCCAGGCAAGGAGATTATGCACCCAGACTGGTTGTTTTTTAGGGCTTTTTTAATATCAAAGCAAAACTTGGGAGATTTGCTCTCTGCTGCTTCGTTACTGGAAGGTTTAAATGTTCAGGAGCAAAACAGAGACACGCAAACGGCACCGAGAGAGGAAAAAAGGCTCCTGCAGCCTCTTGGGTTTAGGGAATCCGAGCATGCCAGGCGGGATGGATTGGACCCCAGGGGCAGGTGGGAGCATGGGGCATTGAGAAGGGAACGGGCTTGAGTTGGGCCTCCCAGCTCCCCCGCCCCTGCATGCAGCTGGCAGAGGGGAGGCCTAGCTCTGCGAGCACTGAGAACCAGGCTCCTGCAGCCAGTGCTATGATGCAGGGGCCGGGGCAGCCAGGACGCCTGCAGAGGCCGTGACAGCACTGGGCCCAGCCCGACAAGCTGCCAGAGGATTCGAGTCACTTGGGCTTTTGATAGAGGCTAGTAATTCCCTACAAGCCCTTGGAGCTGCACGGCCAGACACCTCCCGCAGGAGCTGGGAACCGAAACCCCAGCCCTGTTGCAAATGGAGCCGCCGTGCTTGCACCCACAAGCCCTGATGCGCCCCCCCCATGTGGGCCTGTGTTAGGGGGTGCCTAAGCCCCTTGGGCATTGCTGGGCAGGGTGAGCATGTAGCAGTGCAGCAGCAGGATGGCATCGCAGCCCCCAGGCAACTGGCCCTGACCTGCTCTCCCACTCTTTGCTTTGCAGCGCAGTCCTCCCTCATGGCATCCCCGCAGACGGAGGAGTTTTTCGACCTCATTGCCAGCTCGCAGAGCCGCCGGCTGGACGACCAGCGTGCCAGCGTGGGCAACCTGCCTGGCCTCCGCATCACACACAACAACCTGGGGCACCTGCGCGTGGAGGGCGATGCCCAGGAGCCGGGGGATGACTTCTTCAACATGCTCATGAAGTGCCAGGTAGGTGCTGGGGGTGGCACTCGGGCCTGGGGGCCACGAGCTGGCGCGTCCTGGGGCAGATGCACCAGGGCTCAAGCTGTCAGCACGAGGCTCACGTGTGGGGCTGGGGTGGGGACCTCAAACAGCCAGTCTGAAGCCCACCTAGGTCAGCAAAAAGCACCTTCCTTGCTGGGCTTATGAAGGGGTCCACAACCCCCGTTCCTGGAGCATGTACGTGGCTGTAGGAGGCAGCAGGAGAAAGCCTTGTAGGCAGCCCCCACGCCCTCCATTCCTAACCGTGGCCTTGCTTTCCCTCCCTCCCCATCCCCCCCAGTCGTCCCGCATCGACGACCAGCGCTGCGCCCCGCCGGACACCATCCCCCGTGGCCCCACCATGCCGGACGAAGATTTCTTCAGCCTCATCCAGCGGGTCCAGGCCAAGCGCATGGATGAGCAGCGGGTGGATCTGGCCACAGCCCAGGAGGAGGCGGTACCCAAGGAGCTGCAGCCGCAGCCTCCGCCGCGGCCCGGC